ACACACACACACACACACACACACACACACACACACACACACCAACCTCTCTGCCTCTCCACTCTGGATTCCAGACTCACTGCTTGCTCTGGTCATGGACACCGTCCACTTTAGAACCTGTGTGTGCTTTCACTACCTGGTATCTTCCCAATTTCATGACTTGGCTCTATTCTGACTTCCTCATTTTTTTTTTTTTTTGAGACAGGGTCTCTCTATATAGCTCCTGCCTCAGCCTCCCAAATGCTGGAATTACCAGCGTGCACCATGACATCCGGCTTTCCATCCTGACTTCTGTTTTGTGGATTCTTTGTAGGGTTCCTTGCTTATTTTTAGAACAGTTGACCCAGCTTTGCTTAGCAATGCAGCTAAGGGATCTATTTTAAGTGAAAATGCAATTTAAGCTAAGTATGCTTAGTATACAAGTGTAAATCCAAGACTAATCTCTCTCTTTTCCTTTTAATTTGCTGACGCTAAGCTCTTGCCTATCAAAATTCAGATAGCCAGGTGTAGTGGTGCAGGCCTGTAATCCCAGCACTGGGGAGGCTGAGGCAGGAGGATCACTGTGAGTTTGAGACCAGCCTGGGCTACATAGTGAGTTCCAGGTCATTCTCAACTACATAGGGAGACCCTGTCTCAAAAAACAAAAACAAACAAACAAAAAATCAGATGCCAGCACTATAAATAATTTTGAGAAGAATCTTCCAAATTTGTTTACCAAAATTGCAGACATGCCGAATGGCAGATGTGTCCATGTCATCCCCTCCCAAGTACTTCTCTAGCCGTTCTGTAGAAACACTGGCCTAGAGAAGAACACAAAGGATTTGAAGAATTAAAAAGTCAACAACAAACATAAAGAGGAAAATAATTTTGACTTTGTCATCAGCCTATGATTTGCCATTTGCCACAGCTGGACTTTCCTGACTCCCACCACAAACTTATTCATTCCTCATCCCTGGAAGCCATCCCACTCTGGAAAGAAGGAAATTAAGACATTCTATTTCAGCCCTTCAGAAAATTCAAGGAGTTCAACTGTACTGCTATCTCTTTCCAATCTTCAGCCCTATTTCTGGAAACTGTCACCTACCTTCTTCTAATACAAAACTGTAACTTTTACCTACTTCTGGCAACGGGGCCTCTCTCTTGCTCTGAATAATTTAGTCTATCCCTTGATGACCCTCCAGTATTCCAACTGAATCACTACTGGGACCCTCAAGAGAAGAACTGGCCAATGCTCAAACTTCAGATGACCTAAGTGTTAGATGAACAACCTGGGATCCCCAGAACATGAGAACGCGGGACCTCTTCAGTCTTCTATCTTGTAGGAAGGTGGAACACAGCTGCCCAACCTCTGAGAAAGTGTTAGGCTTTCAGCCTGTCCCTTTCTTAGGCCATCACGGCAGACTATAAAACTGCTTAGCTGCTGTGTGAATCATCAGCTCCTCAGAAATGGAGCTCCCCATTACCCGAGTTGTGTTATCCTCTGACTCCTGTAGGTTCAGTGTTACACAGTTAGTTGGGCAAGGAATGCAGGGAGCTGATTCCCTTGCCAGTCTTGAATTGTTGTCTAAAGAGAACATATTATTTCTTTACTGGCCAAATGGTCAGCCATTTTTCATACCTTCCTGGATAGGGAGACCTTCAAAACCCCAGAGCTGTCTGAAATTAGGTACTACCGGGATAAATGCAGGTCACAACATTCCTTCTATGCCTCATAATTCTGGCCCCTCATCAGTCTGCCATCTTCCTGTGAATATCTCCTGAGGTCAGGGCCTCAGCCCTTCTCGGTGACTACACTCAGCTTTCAGAATCAACGTTGTTCCTGGCCTAAGGCCTCCTAACCTCTAACCTCATTTTCTGACAGATTGAGGCTCCCTAATTTACCACCACTTGGGTTCATACAAAGAGTCTCTTCTTTCCTTTCGTACCATATTTTCCTAATGCTATATCAATACCTTACGAGCCTTACAAAAACATGGGGGAAACTAGGCTGGGAAAGGAGCTTAGAAAAACTCCCAACACCGGGGATAATCATAATGTCTCATTAAATGCTTTCACAAGATTTTATCCCTGTGAAGTACATGAGGTTGGTATGACTATCCTCATTTTAGAGTTAGATAAATTGGGCTTAGAGAGCTTTGATTTTATTAAGATCAAACCATTGGTCTATAGAGACAAATGTCTCTATTTGAAAGTTCACCAGCAGAAGATAAACATAGACTATAACAGGCCAGACATTCTGGGCTCTAAGGTTTTCAAATCAGAGATGAGCAGTTAACAGGGGGATTTCTATGTACCTGGACAACGACAGAGATCACCAAGGGAAGCATGGTTAGGGGAAAGCGCAGGATATTGAAGAGAGTGATGGAAGTGAAGGCCTTTTCTGCATCCAAAATATTGTTGCTATCCACAAGAACATAAACAGAAAATGTAGTCACAGACACCTGGAAAGAATAAAATCAAGAGCAATTTATCCCTAAATGAGTCCAAGCACCCTTGTGCTAAGTTTCAGGAACATAGTATACTCAAATTGAAGGAAATTTAGGAGTTTATCCCAGCCTTTCCATGTTACTGTTGAGAAAACTGAGCCCACAAGAAGAAGTATCTTGTACAAAGTCACATAGTCAATTCATGGAATTGCTAAGGCCAGAGTGTGGGTTTACTGGCTCAATATCAATGTTCCTTTCACTAAACACTTATATCACCTCTCCCTAAAAAAGAAGAAACCCTCTTATGCAAATCGTTTGTGGATACCACATCCATGATGAACATCCAGAAAACTTTCTCTTGGCTTCTAGACCATCGAACAGTAGTACACAAAGTAAACTTAGAGTTGAGAGCACAACATAGGGATGACAGCAAAAGAGTTTGAGAAAAAAAGGGTGAGATTTCTGGATTTAGGATCAGGCCTAGAAGTGCTGGGAATCTCTCAAGAGCAAATATTTCTCTTCAGGTCCAAAACCTATCCAGTGCACTGACTCTTCTGGTACTCACCAGGATAGGAGCTAATTGTAAGAAGAGCATTATCACAGACTGCAGCTGACCAAAATGCAGCAGGTTCCTCAGCTCTTTCTTCCGAAAATTGTTGATTTGGTCTTTGAATGAAGGCTCCCAGGCAAAATATTTTAGGATCTAATGGGTTAGAAATGAGCACAAGTCACATTTGTTGCTTCATTTAAGTGATAAACAGACTGAGAAAAATCTAAGTAACTTGCCCAAAGTTGAGACCTGAGATTCAAAACCATGTCTGTCTTTTAATATTGCCACACTAGAAGAAAGACACATTAGAGCTGAGAACTATCAGAGAGCTTAAAGAGTCTTCTGTTTCATTTTCAAGAAATTTGAGCTAACATTAAATCCTTTAATTAAAAACAGTATTTTTTTTTTGGTAAAGAGAAGAACTTGCTGATCACCTTTAAAAGACAAAAGGCATTATTCTGAAAGCTAGGCAGCAAAGGAAAAAAAGTACATTTATCCTGGATTTCCTGAACTCTAGTTTAGGGAGCCAACTAACTTGTTGAAAAAGAAAAGAGAATTATTTATAGAAATCCAGATAGTCAATACCAAGGGACTAATTAAAATAAAAAAGAATTAAAATAACACCCTTTTAAATAGTTTCATCATTTTTAACTTCTAATGAAAAAGTAGACCTAAGCAATGATCATAAAATTTGTACGATCATGGTTTCTTTTAAACCTTTGCTGTGTATTAGAATCACTCTGAAGCCTTTTAAAAATATAAACATGGAATCCTCAAACCAAGAGAATCCAATTTAAATGATTTCAAGAAGTACTGCATCACTCCAACTGCAACTGGTTTTAGAAGCTTCACAGGGCGATTCTCATGTTCTCCCGGGGTCACATGCTACTGCTGCAAATGAAATAGACATCACTGCTGCTTTTTGGAAGTACACAGCACCACACTCCACTTGAAAGCAACTCTTTCCTCCCCAAAAAACTTAATCTAAATATAATCAATCCTCTAGATCTAATTCTAAATGAACTGACAGATCTAGCTACCAATTTACAAGACAAATGACCTGGGTTCTTCAATATGACTGGGGAGGGGCACTGTAGTTTAAGAGCTCTGATGTACATGGCTGTAATCCCAGCACTCTGGGAGGCTAAGGCAGGAATACCGTGACTTCAAGTCCAATCTGGACAATTTAGCAATAAGACTGCCTTGAAATTAAAAAAAAAAAAATGGACTGGGGATATAGCTTAATGTAAAGGTCCTGGCTTCAATCTCTAGTACCACTAAACAAACAAATAAACTAACACATAAACAAATCACCAACAACTAAATGCTACACATGGGCACTCTTCTATATTTATTCAAGTTAACTAACAGGTAAAAGGCCAAATAAGAGCTGGGCAGGGTGGCACATGCCTGTAATCTGAGCACTTGGGAGGCAGAGGCAGGAGAATCACTGTGAATTCAAGGACAGCCTGGACTACATAATGAGCTCCAGGCCAGCCTGAACTGCATAGCAAGACCCTGTCTCAAATTAAAAAAAAAAAAAAAAAAAAAAAAAAAAAAAAAAAAAAAGAAAAGAAAAAAAGAAAAGCAAACAAATGTGAAGCAACAGGGAAATTGGTGTCAAAGATTTTTTTTTGGTAAGGTATGATAACAATACGGTATTACAGTTGGTTTAAGACAAGGTAAGCCTAGAGAAGGTCAGCATCTCTGAGGAGAATCAATGCCGCAGGAAACGCACATTGTTATTAAAAACTTCAAAAATAGCATGGAGTTCTACTCTAAAAGTAAATCATAGAGGACCAAGAGATAGAGGGAGATGTGAGAGAGGGGAGGGAAAAGATATGTAAAGAAAATTAAGATGTGTTATATACATGTACAAACTCCCCATGATGAGTGTGTTCATTATGTGCTGCAAACATACTGGAAATAAAAAAAATTTTTAAATGAATAAGATGACAAGATATCTGAGATTTGCCTTAAAATAATACAGCAGGTGTAAAGTGGGGAGGGGATATATACATGAAACTAATTAAGTCAGGATGTTGAATGCCAGGGCTGGGGAATAAATGTATGCAGGTTCATTGTATCATTCTCTACTTTTGTGTATATATACTTAAATTTCTATACAGAAAAATGTAAAAACATAAATAACCTTATTTAAGTTAAAGAAATAGAAATCAATATTCAGTAGAGGACCTGAGAGAGAGATTAGAAGATAAAACAAGAGATGTGTAGGTAAATGAATAGGGAGTCAGCTGACACACAATAGGCCAAGAAACAGGAATCCACAACCGCTAATAGAGTTTGTTTAGGCCAAGAAATTCACAGCTTCTATCACCGCCCCCAGAGGTCTGCCTATACTTAGCTTCTTTTTCTTTTCTTTTTAAAAATTTAATCTTGTTGGTACTTTTGATATACACAATGATTACTTTCATCGTAGGGAATTTGTACCTGTACATAATATAACTTTATTCTTTTTGGCTCATTCCTCTTCCCTCCTGTCAACCCTTCTTCCCCTCCTTGGGTTCCTACCTTGATTCCACTGAGAATCTCATTCATGAGCTTTAAACGTTTGTCTTTATACTTCATAGTTTTGAACTGTCAGGAGAAAGCAAAACGAAAACACTTTCTTGAGAACAGGGTTCAGTTTTGGTGAAGACAGCAGGCCTCAGTTGTACTTGTGGCTCTTACTTAGAATCTGAGGTGCCCAGTGATGGCATTCATCCCTCTCTGACTCTCACCCAAGCCTGTTTCTGCTCCTCAGTCTCTGCCTGACTGTTCTTTCTTCTCAGGTGGTTCTTCCTTTGTCCCTTATTTTTTTCATAGTCAGACTTTTGTCATTCAGAGCTTGACTTAAATGTCCCCTCCTATCAGAGGAATCTCTTGACCGCCTAATCAAAAATACCACCCATTTATTATCCTTTCAATTTTAATTTTCTGTATAGTTTCTATCATGATCTGGTATTTTTCTTTTTTAGTGCCTAAGTAAAATGTAAGACCCATGACAGCCATGGCCTTGTCTAATTTACTGCCATGTTCTCAGAAAAGTAAAATGTGTAATAACTTTTTCAAAACAATTATTTGTAACTAAATGAGTGCAAAACAAGTGAACAAAAAATACAGCATTGAATCCATATAACCTGTGATAGCTAGCTGAGCTAAGCACTGTCTCTATTGAGCCATTCTCCCTGGTGATAGGAAAGTGACTGCTGGGATTTAAACTGAAAATTGGGATCACTCATCAGTCTTCTCTGTGTGTTTGGTTTGCCCTGCTATGATGGAGAAAAGGGGTCAAATATCACCATGGGGAAGTCAGCCAAGCAGAGTAAGGTGGAACAGTTATGTACAGGGTTTCCAGGGCTGCCCTATCCTCTCCAGTTAGGCTCTTCCCTCTAACATAAATGAAGATAAGAGTATATAAATCCAGGCTGGGGATTTAGCTCAGTAGTTCTGCTTCGCAAGTGCAAGGACCTGAGTTCCATCCCCGATACCA